GCTGGACGTCATGACGAAGCTATTATCTATTATGTCTGTGTTTGTTTATGCCTGTAAGATCATGCATGTCTGCTGACAGTATATGTGCTTACTACGGAGAGTGATTCATGCATGTAGAGCTTGAGAATCTGGGAGCTGGTGCTGTGATTGCAGCTGCTGCGGCCCGCAGCTTGACGTGCACGAACGTGCCAGGTGAAGTACTCCATGTCTGCCGGAATCATTATGGCATCGTGTCTGCAGACAGCAGGTTTTCCTCCAAGAGTTGCTGAGGTGAGTGCTCGCAAACTCGCGAGCAAGTCAAACCTGAACCGAACCTAACTGCACCCTGCAAGCACGTCCCTTCGAACAAGTCAGGAGTCCATGAATCCGCGACTGTCGGAGCTTACGAGGACGCAGAGTTCTAGCTGTTCCAGCTGCTGCCTAATGCTCTGCATGACTGATCCCAGGCGTTTGACTTGGAGACGGGGTTCTTACGTGCAGTTCACGCCACTCGTTAACCATCTTTGACACTTACTCTTGTCAAGACGCATCAATCTAGCACATCATGAATGACAGGAACGACCCGGAGTACAAGTACCGCATGTACCATGCTGCGTGCGCTCGCTCGGCTGCTTGTGACGAAGGAGTTTGTCGTGGATGGAGTCTGTCTCGCTTGGCCTACGGGTAGCGAGTGACTTCAGCAGTGGTGAGGTTGCCCGGCATGTTCCAAGACCCCCCGCTAGATACATGGAACAAGCTGCTGCACAAGTTACGATCCCACAGACAAGGCATCCGGTGGATTACTTCCTGGAGCAGTGCTGCGAACCCAGGTATGACAGTTGCACCGACGGTAGTGACCCGGTAGCGCATGGAGATCGGAGCAATGTCTGTTTTCCGTTGAAGGCGGGACAACTTAATGGATCGCCGGACATAGCACTTAGACGATACCTACCAGTACAGGATAATCAGTTTCGCAAGTGCCACCACTACTCAGGCCCTGCCAAATCTGATAAAGCTCGCCTTTGCACTAGCACAGAAAGACTGGTAAATGTATGTCGGACGAGTTACAGAGTGGTTTGCATGGCTATGCAACATCAGCAGGTGCAAAGATATGCTTTGTTTTTCTTCTCAATTCCTCAACTAGTGCATGCAAACATGTATGTATGTACATGTTTGCCACAACCCTATGACCTTGTGTATTGCGCCGAGGCATCGCAGACTGGGCTGGGTCCTGAGGCTTCAGCCGAGAGATGTCGTTCTCTGCAGGCTGCGAGCTATTTTAGGAGTTGAGGAAGCCTCGAGGCTTTCCCGATCCCACACAAGTTTGGATCAAGGCCTAATTAGTGCAAGTTGAGGCCATGCTGCTCGGTTTTCGCATTTCCTAAGAATAGGTCGCAGCACCAGCCGAGGACCACTACCAGAAGATGTTCAAGGAGCAGGGCTGTGATCATGAGCCCCGGGCTCTAGAAGAGCGCGCGCTGTCACCACTGCCAAGTCATTCCACAGCAAAGCTTGGTGCTGAGGTACGTGAAGTATCCGTACACTCGAGAAATGATCGAGGTGAGCGGTTTGATATCAAAGTTATGTACTGCTGCGGTGTCTGGTGCTGCTTGCAATCCTGCACGAATGAAGCCGTCAGGGATACTTCAAAGAGTACACAAAGCTCCTGCATATTCCAGCCTCTGCCTCGGCTGGCCTTCGATTTCCTTTTGTCGTGCCTTGAAGTGCAGACCTAAGTTGCTTGTGATTCTATCCTGCCCGTCGCCGTAGCCTTAATACAAATTGACAAAGATGACACTGAACAGCAACAAGATGCTGATACAACAGACCAACACTGTGTCACTTACATTCAGGTCTCTGTCAATGGGCCGCCAGCTGATGCGCGGCGAGCTCGGCGCGAGGGATTCAAACCCAGTATACCATGAAGTGTAGTACCAGGTTGGTTCGCACAAGTGATGTGTCGTATGGAGGCTTGTGTCGGCAAATTTAAAGACAAGAAAGGGCAGTACCGCGAGCAGGGCCATGGAACCACTGTTTCGGTGGCATGCTGTCTGGCAGCTGTGCAACGATAAAGAACAATCAAAGGATTATTCTGAAGTTTTGAAGTGATGTTGTTATTGTATGCTTTTGCACGCTGAGTTTTCTGTCTCAACACCTGTGTGATTTACTATACCGTCACTACCAGTGTCTTCATCTTGTGAACTGTGCCCCTCTTCTGATTTTGGGCTTAGCGACTGAGGCCCGCACTGGACGACTGCACCATCGAGTCTGCCGTGAACGCTTTGCCCGTGGACTGCTCAGCCAGCTTTCATCGTATTGAACCAAGTTCTCCAATGAGTGGAATATGTCGGACATAGTACAAAACGTCGTGGATATACTGTTTCACACACGGCATGTGCCGATGTGGCGCCGCGGCTATGTTGCACCTGTAACATGGCGGGGACACCGCTTGGACTTGGGATACTCGCGGAGCAGCCGGCCAACAGCTGGGCAACGGGCGAGGGCTTTCATCATCTCAGGTGCTACTAGTAGATATGCTTACCTCTTACGTTCTCGATGGTTAAAGGATTGTGGCGTCAAGGACCCGGGCCTGCGAAACGTGCACCTGTATGCATTAGCTTCATGCAGTGACACTGAACTCGTCGCTGCAGATTCTCTGGAAGCACCAAAAGCGCTAGGCCGCTAGGAGCATCCAAGTGGGAAGCTGATAACGCAGGCTAGTGAGTCAGTCTCATGTTCTGTAGTTTATAGACGAGGAAACCATGAAGATGAAAGATGGTGGTGACGAACCCGTGAGATTTCCTAGACCGTTGAAAGACTGAGGCTTGGGCACAAGATGAGAGAACTTTGGAGGGTATGAGCACGCAGATTGAGAAGGACAGGCAGCAGTCAGCCGGGAGCATGTGTAGCTTACGCTTTTTCCTTTTGCACCTCAGAGGTTCGCGATTATCCGTCGGAGCAATCTTTTTGCCTCATCGGCGCATTGTTCCGTTCCTGGGCCAAACTCTCGAGGCGGCTTCGGAGTGCATTTCTCAGCTTTTAGTCCTGGCTCAAAGTGTTCCAGTGCCAGTGAATTGCATTCCCCGCTTTGCTGGTTCACGATCCAGACAGGTCTATATAGTGTGTCTGCAAAGCTTCGATATTATGTTTTCTGAAAGCTTCTCTCTCCCGAAGATGGTTAGTGGAAGAGGGTTGGCATCCAGAAGCGAGTACGGCAAACCTGCGGCCTGGAGCCCAATGCATAGGAAATGTGGCCGGCTGTCAAACTTATCTCTTTCGGTGTCGTTGGTCGTGGAATGTCCCGAAATGGCATCAAGAGCCTGCCATCATCGCATAATTACATGTTGTGCCGTAATGAGAGGATCCATCCTGGTGGTTCGGTCCCCAGCTATGGCTCCCGGCAAGGACCCAAAGCCTATGCTTGGAATGCGGATTTCGTGGAAGTCGACAGTCGCGCACACCCGGGGCTGGCAGATGCAAGCCTTAGGTATCCTGACCTAGCACAGAGCCGGAATTTGAGTTTCTTGGTTACTCAGTAGACAGGCTCTGAGCCCTTTTTTGGTGAACACTCGCGCCGCTTTGAGGTCCCAGCGCTCCACGGGTTCAGAGCTGTTCCTGCGAAAGGATGCCAGGAGCCCGAGGGTCCTATTCCGTGGCCCTGTCCATGCTGGTTCTGCCAAGGTCGCCTTCGATGGCAACGGGCAGCGTTTGGCCCTGAGCACCTGAGCCTGGAAATGGTGGCTGTGTGGATCTGTGTAGCTGAAACAACTGCTGATGGCTTATCCTGTCGAATGCCTGCAAAACAAAACAAAACAAAGAGTCTTTCCACAGTGCCTCTCCCGGACATCCCTCATCAGCAGCCTCGGTATGCGGTTTGCTTTCATTATTGGGCTGAAGTGAGGCCAGCTGTAAGAATGTGTCAGCATGCAAGAACATTAGAGCTCAGAGGCTAGGTCGCAGTAGAGCTGAGCAGTGCTGGGTGTCGAGCTAACAAACTTCCAAGTTTCAAGCGTCTTCAAAAGGTATCGTGGTGAAGCAGATTAAGACTAAGACGATGCCTGGTTCTGACTTTGCGTCACGACAGCGAACGTGCTCTTTGTTGGTTTCTTCGCCTCCGACCGAAAAAGCTAGAGTCTTTGCAGTTTGACCGGCGCTCGGTGACTTGGATGCGGATTGTAGTGCCTTGCATGGTGCGGAGAAGAAAAATCTTGTTTGATAAAGGTCGTGTGCACAGGGAACAGTTGCGGATGCACGCGGCAAGTTCGATGTCAGGCCTGGCCTGAAGGAGCTGAGAAACCTTTGCTGTGGGGTTCACGGGGTGGAGAGAACTGCTCGAGCCGCCGCAACGCGCAGCCATGTCAAATCCGGTATAGGGACTTGCAACTTACGATGTCCATATTACTACGAGCCTCGGCTGCAGTAAGCTCGGATGAATTCCGCGCTTGGAGCATGCAGTGTTCTGCAAGCTGAGGAGATTCCATGTTCCCGGGTTCTTTTGGCCTCGGCCTTGTTACACCGGCGGAGAGTGTTGTTTGAAGCGAAACTTGCGTTGGCAGGGAGTGTTAACAATGTTTAGATCTTTCTCTGGACAACCTCTCAGACAGACGGTTTTGTCACTGGAGGGAAGACTGGATATGCACGGCCATATTGGTCAATGACGATGTTTGGCTGGGCTGAGGCCACCACTTCATCAGAACCCAGCTTGGTGCCGGGCTGATCAGATCTGGACTTCCGATGTTTGCACCTGAAGGGTGCAGTTGCAGCCATTCAACATGTGATACCGCTGAGTGCAGAGCCGGAACACGGAAACTGACCACTGCAGCAGTTGCGAGTCGAAAGCTCCAACTGCATCATGAGCTTATCGTTGAAGCCACGGGTTGGCCCGACATGCTGCAGGGCAACTGTTTCTTCTCATTTGCTGGTCATCCTGCTGCATGGCCTCGGCCTTATCGAGCAACAGAACCGCCAAAGGCAGCCGACACCTTTGCTCAAGATGTGCGGTCCCGCTTTCGGAAGCTGAGGGGCTGGATGTCTGGGAGTACCGCGACGAGCTTGCGCGGTCCGACTCGAACTTGGCGGAAATACGGTCGGACCTCCAGGACACGGATAGCTGCGCATCTTTGCATTCGAGATTTGGTGCTTTTTGTCGCTGTATGCCAGTCTGTGGCATGTAGCTGAACAGTCTATTGACCGCCTGTCTGGTCTCCATAGCAGAGCAATTGCGGACCTACTTGGTGAATGAAGAGTCCTACTTAGGAATTGCCTTGTTTGAACCATGTGCAGACTATGAAGAGAAGCGGCAGCATTCAAATCTTGAGCCCTCAGGAGATCCGCGTCCGTAGCTTCGATATCCAGGAAACTCTGCAGAAGGAGGCCAGGGAACGTCATGCGAATGTGTCCCAAATTTTACAGCCCTTGCTAGTGACTGGGCTTCTGACAATTGACTGTTGCAGGTGGCCTGTGTTGTGATCCATGAGAGATGCTGATGACCATTAGCACCTGGGGTTCCTAGTACTCCATCATGTTGCTTTTATCGATGAAACATCCATCGTTGATTATTCTACCAGTGCTTGTGATGCTGCTGCGGTTCCTGTAGATGCCAGATGCAGGACTGTCAATTTGGAATAATCTGGTGCTGCCGGTACTGAAAGAGATGCTCACGCTTCTGCTTCTGCCAATAGAATAAAATCGCTATTCAGTGGTTGTTTGACAGCAGCAGCAACAGCTGGAGAAGTCGTGACATTATTATTTGTAATAGTGTTCGTCGTTGCCTGACAGTGGTTGTGGTGGCAGTGGTAGTGATAGTGGCAGCACGAGGAGGAGGAGCAGCAGTAGTAGCACTAGGAGTAGCAGCAGCAGTAGCAGCAGGAGCAGGAGCAAGAGCAGCAACAGCTGCTGCTGCTCTTGCTCCTGCTCCTGTTCTACTATGACCATAACAATTGCGATTACGACTATTGCTACTACTACCACTACTACCACTACTACCACTACTACCACTACTACCACTACCACTACTACACTACTAC